ACGGGGGGGGGCTTCTAATATGGGGGAGGCTTCTATTATGGGGGGGGTTTACATATATGTAGAACGGAAAATAGGTAAAATACAACTTTTCCTTTTTTTCACAATAGATGACGCGTGAATGCGTTCTACATAGGCATGCACCAGTAAATAACTATTATAAGTCGGCTATAAAGAATTACTCAGAGTGACGGAATCTGTCATTTTATAGAAAAATGTCTGAACTGCAGTTCCATATAAGTATAAAAAATTCAATGTTAGCTGTGATACAAATATGAGCAATCCAGGCATGGGCCAGTCTGAGTCGGGACTGGAAGATTTTGTGGAGGACTCGGACTGGAGATTTTTTTGAAGGACTCGGGCTTGAGTTTTGTGTTTCGAGTCCGATCTATTCAATTTTCAACACAAACGAACAGAGAAAAATGAAAAGCGAAATAACAACACCTTCTGTTTCACAAGAAATTGAAAATTTTGTTAGAGAAACGGACATGCAAAGTAACCTTATTTTCGAAAAATCAAATATCTATCCCGGGCGCAGTAAATTAAAAAAAAGAAATAAACCACACTCATCAAAAAAGAATCTGAAAGATTATCGGACTCGAAATGGACTCAGACTCGACTCGGACTTGGAAACCGAAATTTTGAGTTGAAGACTTGATTTTTTTTTCAAAATGTTCGCCTTTCGACGCTGAATTCAAATATGTCGTTAAAAATGTTTCATGTCTTAAGAGTGATTTTTAAAATTCATTTTAAGAAGTACCACTAGCCCAATAACGACGGTTTTCTAGAAGCCCTACTTCCTAGAGTTTTGGAGAAAACTTTATAAAAAAGAAAAGAAACTCATTCTTACTAACTGGTTAGCTAAGTGTCCTATTAACCATGCTACTCGACTGGAATTTATATCCGAGACAGTGCATTCACATAACACATTTACAACACAAAGTATTTTCTTATGTCCTTGCCGGGATGAACGTCTTTAAGATATATGATCAGATACATTTTGGCGAATTCTATCCTTTTTGCGCTCCAGTACAATGCGCTTTTTAGGGTTAAACCAAGCGCTGAAATAATCTGAGAAAGGTTCAGTGGAAAATTGTGATTTTTTCTATAAAAGGTTGTTTTTTAAGCGTTTCTCAAAAACTACGGTGTGTATAGAAAAACAAAATCCACTATATGGTAGTGCTCGTCGAGCTCTATTTAGATGATAAAGCTCCTTTTTTGACTAAGTTTGCCGGCGAATCTGAGGTTAAAATATTCGACTCTGATGTTGACTTTACGTACGTATTTCAAAGGCGTTTGATGAGATTCACGAAACATTCCTCTACTAAATTGTGTTTTGAAAAAACTACGCCTTATGTGCCCGCTTTTCCACTGAATCGAAATATCTAGATGCATTCAGATGTAAATAAATATTTATCTCGATGCAACTAGATAGCATTATCTATGCATTTAGATGTGCAACAGAGGTGGGACCGGTTCGGTTTGAGTTTTTCATAAATGGATTCGGTTCGGTTTGAGAAAGTTTCAGTTCGATTTGGGTCGGTTGCCGAAAAACACGAACGGATCTCATCTCTGCTGGTTATATGTTTTTCAAAATGAAATATTTTTTTATTGTTTGGTAGTGAGAACCTCGAGGTTTAAGGCTAACTTGCACCTGTGTAGGGCATTTTTTAACGTGGCTTATGGATAGACCATGTCCTTCAAACTGTTAAGCGTCCACTTTTAGAAAAATGATTCGGTTACACAGGTCATCTTCTCATTTTTGAAAGTGAAGTGAAAACACTTCCGAAGAGAAAGAATACACACGAAAACAGAGAACTAAAGTGAGGAGTGTTTGAATGATAAAGACAAAGAGTTTTACATTTTATTCTAACTTTAATTACATATAAAAAAAATTGATTGGTTCGGTCCGATTCGTTTCGAATTTCTGAAAAAAAAGTACGATTCGGTTGCAGAAAAACACGAACCGATCCCACCTCTGATGCGCAGTGTAGTGGGCAATAGATCTAGTAGTCAATGTATCTGTCGATGAATCGAGATGACTTAATGTCTCTCACGATACATCTAGATATCATTAAACATCTAAAGAGAGGTCATTATTTTAGCCAAAACATTTATTCCAATATCAAGCCAAAGTATTTTTGAAAATGTCTGTTTGAACCCTAATATTATAGTATCTATCCCAAGTCCAATGGAATGATTGAGTGTTTCTCTCAATGAATTGGGATGGCTTAATGTCTTCTTGTAGGTGTGGGTCCTGTTTCTAGGACTCCTTTTCTAGGATTGTAGGTGTCATTGTCTCTGCATTAAGATGTCTATATGTTGTCCAATATCTCTAATGTTACACTTAGATCAGCGAATGTCTCTTGAAATCCAAGTAAATGTCCTAGTTTCAATAAACCACGTAATGTGAATCTGAAGCTCAATATTATCAACTGTATCAATACACTACCACTTGCGTTTAGACGATGTCGACGCAGTCTTAGACAAAATCCTAGAAAACTAGCTTCTAGAAGAATTCCGTCTAATTTTTTTAATCTTTTTATTTGTTTCCTCATGCGTTCAGTGTAACATTAAAATAATAGAGGAAATGATATTGTTCTATTCGCTTTGTTCCTTATGTACTTGTTCTTACTTAAATATGAATGTATGAGGTTACGATTGTGCATTGTCAATGTCAGTTTTATAACGAAAGTCGCTGATTGCTGACAAAAACACTTGTGTTTCGTATCTCTCTTATAAATAACTCTTCTATATTGTAACGATGAGGATTATATTTGCATTTGTGCAATTTTTATCACTAGAGTTAAGACAAATGTTAATGCAACTAAAATATGTAATCCTAATAATAACAGTTTTATTTTATTAATCCAAGAATTTATTGGTTCCAATGATGTATCGTCGTCCGTTGTTGCACTATCCATACGATACATTTCAGATTTTCTTGATTCGTTGTTGTTTTGCAGTCTTAAATAATATTCGCTACATTCAAATAGAATAAAAATTGTCACAATCCAACATGACCATCCAACTAATATTCCCCAACCAAGAGTATTGGGAATAAACGTAAAATAGGAAAAATATACAGCTAAAAATATTGCCACTATTGATAAGGTAAATGATAAAAATCCAATGAATCCGTGTAGATAATTATAAATGAAACGGTAACGATTATCTGGATGACATCGAAACAAGGCAATAAATGGTTGTATAAACGAACAAGCAACAATAATAATCCCAATAACTGAATGTGCAAATTCTTTCGAGGTGCTTGTTGACTTCTGCACCCACTCACCTTTTTTAAAGACCAGTATAAATAAAAATCCTATTAGTGTTAATGTAGCTGCACATGTCATGATTGCACGGTGTAAAAAAAACCAAACATCTTCTGAAAATAATTTTTTATTTGCAAATGTCTTTTTGAAATAACGAGCTATTAGAATTCCTGTTGATACAAGTAGTATCCATGCAAATATCATTAAACAACCATGAGCTTTCACAAGCTTTGTACTATTGTCAGATGAGTCTAGATTATAAGTAATTTGTTCGGCACTATTTAATGATACAAGTATACTCTGAGGCTGCTTAGCAATATGCTTTTGCATCGAATCTTAAAACAAGAAGAAGATTTTGTGGAATCTTATAAAACTCACGTTACCTAACATACTTGAACTATCGAGAGGTCCTATTGCAATAAGTGGATGATATTGACTGGTTTGAGATAATGGTGAGATTGATAACTGTCGTTTATTTCGTTGTTGTTTAGTTGAAGTAAAGGCTGATAATGTAAATGCACAAGTAACAATATTGTTTTCAAGTTTTGTTTGAATAATCGTAAATGTACCACCAGGATTCATATCTGATGTTACCTCAGTTGGATATGTGTAACCTCCAGCATTAATCATTCGTTTCATGCCAATAGTACCATCGGACAGATACTGACAAACAAATACATGATCGTCACCCTTCAATCAACAAGAACAACAAGATAACGTTTTAAAGAGGACAAACGCAGCATTCATACCATCATCTCATCAACCGATAGACCCAAAGCTACCCATTGTTGAAGATTCAAATTGTTTGTAACCATTTTAATCGATGTTGTCCCATCTGCATATGTCCATGTAATGTTAACACTGACATCTGTTGTTGATAATAAAGTTGTCGTTACTACTGGTATAGATGCTATAGTTATATTCTAAACAAGAAATAGTACTTTATCCATATCAACACCAAATTTTTGCACAGAAAAATAAGACTTTGTTTTAACGTATACTTCTGTATTATTGAACACCGACGATGTAAGAGTAACATTGAAACATCCTACATAAAAGTTATTATACGCTTCTACGATTGTTGCTCTACAATAGAACTTGATTACATTAAGAGAGATACATATAAGAATTTACTTTACTTTAACAAAATCTTTGAACTACTTGATGATTGTGTTGGATGCCATGTGGCTGTTATATTTTGTTTTTCAGTATTATTAGTGTGGGTTATTCCAGTCTTAAAAGCAAATCTGAACTCAGAGAAAGTATATTATAGTTCGCTAATCTTACTTGATCTCCACAAGCTGTCTGAACATTGCTATCTGTCGTTGACCATGTACCAGTAATAATATTATTAGTATCATATGCAATTAAAAGTACACCTTTAAATAGATCATTGCTTGTTTTCCCATGAACAGTTACTAAGTAGAGAAAAATGTCATTATGGTTAGAGTCGTTGAAAAGACGGAAATATTTTTGAATTTTACCTAAAATTGTTTCATTTGGCTGAAAGATGAGCTTTTCTGGTTGAATAACGTAGTTACTTTCACACTGTTGGGTTGTATATGGAATATGTCCAGGTGTCATTGTCGCGCATGCTTGTGGTGGAGCGCCAGTTGGATAAGTTCGTGAATATTGAAATAAAGTAGAGAGAAAAATTAACTGAATAACCCTCTTTACCATCTGGAATGAATAAAGAAAGTTAGAATATAAGAAAGTATTCTCGTCTTTTGTTTCTTGCAAGTGTGTGAGATATATCAAAGTGATTTTCATATCAAACGTTTTTCACACAATTCTATTTCCTTGAATGAAATGTCACATAATACATAAATATCATTAGTTTCTAATTTAACGTAGACTTTGAATTCTACTGTGTCTTATACAATTTTAATGATTAACTAATAAAAACAATTTATGTACAGTTCAGATAGCCATGAAATAGCATATTTTGTGAAGAGTTTATCGTTCTTCAAATCTAATAATTATAGTAAATAAATTGTATTCGGTTGAAAAATGCCATATAACTAGATGGTTTGAGTTAACATTTTTAGAATAAAAATGTTAACGAAACCAATTAATGTTTTAATTAAATTATGAATACTATATGCATATAAAATGATTTTTACTCGATATTAAAGTGAGAAATATAGTGAGAAATATTAAAATTTCAAAATTTTACGTTATTTTATTTCAAATTTTAGACGAATGCAATTCTGAAATTCGTATTTTTAATATTCATTCAATGATCATTTGCTCTTGCAAATCATTAATACGCATGAACTCAACTACTTAAATATAGTCTATAAAAATAACCCAATCCTGTCGCATAACTATCTACTTGCTATTAAATAATGATCAAATTTAACCTTATTTCAGCTTATTGAAGTGTATTCAACCCTTTGGCTGCGGATGACGCAGATATGCGTCACAGTAGTTTCCAGGTAAATCAAAACTCATAGATTCGGTTTCGTGGCAGCATTTAGCAGGCAGTCTTTCAGGGTTAGAAAGGCCATGTCAAGGACTAACGGGTGGGCCAGATAAAACCGGCCACTTTTGTTCTGTTTTTTTGGTCCCCTTAACTGTGGTTGCAGATAATCATTTTATGCTCAATCGATACAGAATTTTCCGCTCTACAAATCTGTGAGTGTTGTAGATAAAATATATTTTCCGTTTGTTCGAAAAATCATGAAAAGTGACGACCTTCAAAAGGTGATACTGCGATTACATGAACAAGGCTTGAGTAGCCGACAAATTTCGAATCAATTCGTGAGTCAAGTCAGCAAAACAACGATCAATGACTGGGTAAAAATGTGTCGCGAATTCGGTGAGCTCAGTTTGAAAAGTCCACCTGGTCCAAAACGTACCAAACGAACAAAGAGATTGGTGCAACAGGTGAAACAACAT